CCGGCCTCCAGCATGGTGCTGCTGGCCGGGCCCGGGCCGGAGGGCGCCGGGGCGCGCTGCGTGTCCCCTCAACCTCCGTCTCCGCCGCCAGGCGAGCCGGCCGAGGGAGACCCCGGAGACTACGAGGAGTACGACGACTTCTCGCGGCTGCCAGACACCCGCAGCGTCGCCTCGGACGACTCTTTCTACCCTCCGGCCGGCGAGGAGGGGCGCGGCACCTCCAGCACTGGGGGCGCCCCGGTGGGCGTCCCGGAGGCGGCGACCCTCCTGCGCGCAGCCTGTACCAACGACGTGGAGCTGCTGCGGGCGCTGGTGCGCCGGGGACCGCGCGTCGAGGAGGTGCGGGAGACCGACCGTAACGGCCGGGTAAGCGCGCGTCCCCCAGGCTTAGGGTGCTTCTCCCTCTCTCCCCAACGCGCCTCCGCGATCTCGCTGTGTTCGGGCCCGTGGTCACCTGCGGCGGCCAAGCGCGCCTTTTCCTCGCTTTTTGGGAGCGTGGCGCGTGTGCAGCCCAGGGTGGCCTGCCCGTCCCAGGCTGGGGGTCCTGCCCTTAACTCACAGCGTCACGGGAGAGCACGCCAACCGTCCTCATTACGTCCCCTTCTCTTTCTCCCTCCCTGGAGTCCTCGGGTTGACGCTTCTCCTGGGTTCTCTTCCACCTGGGGCACCTCTGTCCGTCACGCCTCCTTCTCAGGCCCCTGCAGGTGGCCGTTCCCTCGCGTGCAGGGGCCAAGCCCTCCGGCTCAGCGCCCTCTCCGCCTTCGGGCTCTAACGCTGCCCGGGCTCGTTCCCTAATGACCCCCTGAGCGGTACTCCTTTCCCGCTCGTAGCGCTGGTGGCAGCCGCGGCGCCCGCCAGCGTGAACTCTAACTTGGCTGCCTGCGTGGTCCCTGCCCAGAGCCAGGGCCAGCCCCGGGTCCCTCGGAGGCAGGGCCTGCGGGGGGCAGCGGAGGGGCGGAGCACCCCGGGAACAAGGCAGGCGGGGGCGAGAGGGGCACGACCTACCCATGTAGTTATCTGGAGACTCCAATGGCAAGAAGCGTTTAGCAGAGGAAAAGAGAACTTGATCTGAGAAGGTGGTAGCGCGTGAGGGAATCAAATGTCACAATTGTCGCACCAACAAACCCACCGAGTACTTGGAGTACTTGGAGGGAGAAACCTGCAGGGGACCATAGCGGCCCAGTCTGTGCCCGTGGCCCAACCGCAGCGCTCTTACCGGGTTTTCATGTCCCTCAAGGTCCTGCAGTTTCTGCCTCCGGCTAGAGCAGTCTGGACTGGAGACCTTCAGGTCAGGAGCCCTTGCATTTAGACCGGGGGTGTTTTCACTTTGGGACCTGGCATGCCTCGGCCTTGGTTTATGTCTGGGGCAGAGTGGTCTGGACCGGCCTCAGGCACGCAGGAAGCCAAAAAGTGCAAGTGTTTGCCCCGACAGCTGTCCAAGGACCCAGCCTCTGAGCTTGGTGGAGAGGTCTGTGATTGTCTGCACTGCACCTGGTGACGCGCCCCGCCCCTCCCCCAGGCCCTCAGGGATTCAGACTAAAGTGGGGAAGGGAACTCCCCTGTGGCCTCACCCTCCTGCCCTGCCCCTTCTGCGGGAAGGTGAGGATGGGGGAACTGGGCCATGGGCGGCCTGCCTCGCCTCCCTCTGCCCCAGCTGCCTCTCCAGCTCTGTTTTCATTTTCCCTAAGGTGAGTTTTCCCTCAGGGTGTTTGTGTGAGAAACCTTTTGAAGCAGGTAACCCTGTGTGGTAATTTCTTAGTGCTGCTCTAACAGAAACACCACAAGTGGGTGGCTTTAGCAAACAGAACCTTATTTGCTCACAGTTTTATTAGTGTGGATTCAGGACACCAGCTCTAGAGAAGGGCTCTGTGGGGACATCCTTTTCTCCTTTCTCCAATCCTGGCTTCCGTGGGAACCCTCACGTGGCCTGGCCTCTATCTTCCCCATCTGTGCTGCTTGCTTCTGGGCCTAATCTGCTGTTAACATCTCAAAAGTGTTTGGCTTAAACCCACTTTATACTGACATGGCCTCATTATCATGACAGAGAAGCACCCCTGATTCCCCCATGGGGTTTCACCCACAGGTACCCCAAACCAAACCCACTGCCATCCAGTCCATTAACTCATGGGACAGAGTAGAACTGCCTCATAGAGTTTCCAAAGCTGAAAGGCTTTACTGATTCAGACTGCCTCATCTTTCTCTTGTGGAGGGGCTGGCAGGTTTGAATTCACAGCCCAGTGCTATAGCCACTGCGCCACCAGGGTTCCTTATAAGGGTGGAGATTTATAAGACACATTTTGTAACAATTCCTAACTCCAAGTTATGCTTGGGAAACCTCACCAAAGGTCGCTAAGGCCCCTAAATGTCAGGGAGGTGAAGAGCTTTCTCCCCCTGTCCTGTGAGGTCTGGTAGCAGGGCGGGGTGGTGTCTAGGGGGCTGGGCTGGGCACTGGCAGAACTCAGCCTCCCCCACTAGGAAGCACCAGTAGGCTCAGTTTCTATGCTGCCTTTGGGTTCTGCAGCTGAAAAATAAGTTTGAAAACAGCTGCATTCCAACAAACAACATAAACCACCCCCATGGGGCGTGGGCCTGACTCTCCGGGCCTCTAGAAAGCCCTGCCCACAGCTTAGAGGAGGCTCTTGGCTTCCTCACTGTCACACAGGACTAAGGCAGGAGTGATCACCTGGGGTTGAGAGCAGGAAATGCCCTATAGACACAAGCTCCGCCTGGCACCAAGCCCCTCCCTGTTGGCCACCTGCTCTTGTTTTCACCCCCGTGCCTTCCCCTTTTGGGGGAGCCAGAGCCCCCAGCATCATCTGTTCCCTGCTACCAGGCAAAGCTTCTGCTCTGTTGACGGAGAGGGAGAGCTGTAAGGACGAAGAGCCATCCTGTCGGCTCCTAGCATTTGATTCCCTCCTCTGCCCCTCCGCCTCTTTGCTCCTCACCAAATAATGGTGGGGAAATGGCATGTGGCCCCCAAACTGGAGCCCCTGGGCCTTTCATCTTCTGACAGAAGGAGCGAGCCACGTTCTGTGCTTTGAGAACATGCCTTTATCTTCTGCATGCTATTGATCTAACAGGCTGTCTTCCTGAAGAACTGCTGGCAGAGTGGCATTGTTGTAAAGTCCAAATGCACAGCACAGTGGCAGTTGTAGTGGATCCCCATGCGCATGTTCCCTGCACACCCACTGTGTGCCTGGCACTGGGGGCCGTGTTGGGAGGCTCAAAGGGGAATCCAGCCATCCCAGCTTTTAAGTGTCTTAACCTGTTGCTGGGAGCTCTCGTAGCATGGGAACTCTGGTAACATAGTGCCTAAGGCGTTTGACTGCTAACCTGAAGGCTGGCGGTTGAAAGCCACCAGCCACTCCTCAGAGGGAAGGCTGAGCAATCTACTTCTGCAGTGATTCCGCCTTGGAAACCCAAGGAGGGGTCGCTATGAGTCGGGTCTGACTCGACAGCAAGCAACAACAACCTTTTGCTGGAGTCCCTGGGTGGTGCAAGATCGACTGCTGACGGAGAGGTTGGAGGAGGCGCCTTGCAGAAAATGCCTGGTGACCTGCTTCTGAAAAATCAGCCCCTGAGAACCTTTGGAGCCCTCGTGGGTGACCGCGAGAGCGAGATGGCTCACGGCAACTGGTTTACCTTTTAGTGGGGAGGATTCCGAGGGAAGAAACGCGCACGGGTGATGGCGACAGGCTGTGAGAACGCTCATGGGATGAGGAGTGTGCTGAATGTCAGGGAGCGAGGGCAGTCTGCAAAGCCCAGGGGGTGGAGACTGGGGGGATGTTGCCAGAGGACACAGTGAGCAGACATGCTAGTGGAGGCTGGTGGACCCAGTGTGCTTTGGCTGGAGTGTGCCATGGAGAGAGGCAGATGAGGGAGGGGCTCATGGACCAAATAGTGACAGGCCGGACTGAGTCGCTGGCTAGGAAGCGGGAAGTCGGAGGAGGAAATGGTGTCATCTAACATTGGAGCTGTGGTGGGTGCCCTCGATGGTTCAGGTACTGCTCCCTGCTGCCTTCAGTCCCTGTTACAAGAGCATCATGTCAGCCTCCGTTACAAGAGCATCATCTCAGTCTCCTGGTGTTGATGTAGCACCAAAACCACAAGACGGGGGCTTTGCAGAACAGAAATGCGTTTTTTCACAGTTCTGGAGGCTGAAAATCCAAAGCAAGCTCTTGACCTTAACAATTCCTCGCTGGTTCTTAGCCCTAGGCGTTCCTAGTTCTTTGGCTTGTACATGGCATCTACCCCCTTGTGACCCCACCCTGTGTGTGTGTACGTGTGTATGTCTGTTTCTAGCCTTTTTATAACTCACACGTGATTAGGCTTAGGACCCACTGCACACTGATATGGCCTCATTAATATAACAAAAGAAAACCCTATTCCAGACAGGGTCACATCTACAGGTACAAGGGCCAGGATTCAACAGGTATTTCTGGGAAACACGATTCAATCTGTAATAAGCACCTTCTTAGAAGGACCTTGCCAGCTACCCTTGCCTAAGCCAGCTGCACATGGAGCTGGGTGAGGGCCTGCCAGATGTTCAGAGGTTGGGGGCTGCAATTGCAAATGGGGTGGTCATTTGAGAGAGCAGGGGATTTTGAGCAAAGATGTTGAGATAATAGCTGGGGGAGGAGTGTTTCAGGCACATGGAAAAGCATGTGCAAAAGCCCTGAGGGGAACTTCTGCTCAGACCTGGTCTTCATGCTTATCACCATCTGTGACAGTGGAAGACGCCCTGCTGGTGCAGTTAACCACTGAGCTT